CTGGTTATAGTGCATGGTCACGTTATAGCTCATTCTCAAACTTAAGTGCCTGGTCCCAGAGCACACGCGGGACCAGAGCATGTAGCTGCTCTCCACATGCTCAATCTCGGAGGCCACGTCCAGGATGTAGGTGCAGCGCCTGAGTGGGCACACGTGCTGCCCTGTGGGGGCCAGGGGGGGGGGGGGGGGCACGTGTGTGCACATGTGTCACCTCTGACACGCGTGTGCACAGGCATACACCCCCAAGCTGTCGCCCCGGGGAGCATCACCTGGGCAAGCCCCCCTGCTGGGACATGGCGCCCCCAGAAGGCGCGCATGCTGTGGACCAGGGTGCCCTGTGTTTGTGGGATGCTGGTGACTGCCGACAGGATGCCTCCCTGGCGCAGCTATGGCCGCTGCGTCTGGAAAGTGTCGGGGGTCGTGCTCAGACACAGCCCAGCCCAGGCCGTTCCAGAGGAGGTGGGGACGGGGAAGCTCCCTGAGTGCCTTTCGGCAGGACCCCTTCGGAGGGCACTGCTGGGCTGCTGCGTGGGGTGGGGCGGACGCCGCCCGGCACCGGTGGCTCAGAGCCTGCGGCGAGGCTGAAGGCGGCTCCTTCATTTCCTGCAGACACTTCTGCTCCCCGTCCCACCGCCCATAAAGCTTTACCGAAGAGAGGGCCGTGTCATGACGATAAAGTCCAGACTCTTGGGGCCAGACAGCCTGGGTTCAACGCCCAAATACGTGACCTTGGGTGAGTCCCTTGACCTCCAAGGCAGGCTGATTACTGGCCCTTCCTCAAAGACGTCCATGCCCTAAGCCTGGAACCCATGAATACGTTCCCTTCATGGCAAAAGGGACTTTGCAAATGTGATTAAGTGAGAGATCTTGGATGGAGACATTATCCTGGGCCAGTGATGGCGAACCTTCTGAGCTCGGCGTGTCAGCATTTTGAAAAACCCTAACTTAACTCTGGTGCCGTGTCACATATAGAAATTTTTGGATATTTGCAACCATAGTAAAACAAAGACTTATATTTTTGATATTTATTTTATAGATTTAAATGCCATTTAACAAAGAAAAATCAACCAAAATAATGAGTTCACGTGTCACCTCTGACACGCGTGTCATAGGTTCACCATCACTGCCCTAGGTCATCTAAGCGGACCGAATGTCATCTCAAGGACCCTTATAAGAAGGAATGAGAGAGAGAGAGAGAGAGAGAGAGAGAGAGAGTGAGAGAGAGAGAGAGGGAGATGCTGCCTTGCTGGCTTTGAGGCTGGAGGAGGGCATGAGCCAGGAATGGGGTAGTCCCAACATGCTGGAAGAGGCAAGAAGAGATTGTCCCCCAGAGGCTCCAGCAGGAACCAGCCCCGAGGGACCTGCAGAGCCGTAAACATGTAAGCGCCCAGGTATGTGGTGATCTGTTACAGCAGCAACAGGAAACGACTACACCCTCGTGGGCCTCGGTCCCCCATCTATAAGTGGGGGTGACGATGGGCTCCATGTCCCAGGCTGTGGTGGGGACTGAAGGAGGTGATGGGATTAAATGCTGTGAACTGTGCCTGGGACTAGTGTGTCCGTCACAGGACTGTTTTGTTACCGCCTTCCCCTCCTGCCATGCCTTGGCTGGACTCCGGGCAAGGGCTGAGGACAGACACGTGGTCCAGGGACGAGGGGGCAGTGGGAGAGCTGGTGGGAGAGGATGTAGCCGGCCAGCTGGCGTCTCAGTGGGTAGACAGCAGAGGGCAGGGGTGGGACCGAGTGAGACAAAGGAGGGCCTCTATGGCCTATGCGAAGGCATAAGTGGCGGGGAAAATGCTCGCACTTGTGGGTCCCAGGAGCTGGGGCCTGTTAAGGGAACCCTTCCTAGGGTGGGGGCTCCTGAGGGCAGGGTCCCTGAGCAGGCCCGAGGGGCCGCGGGAGGAGTCAGAGGGCCTCTCCTCCACAAAGTCCCGTCTGGGAGGCGAGACAGACGTACACACGGCGGAGCAGAGAGGGACAGACAAGGGCTGGGTGCTCGGTGCACAGAATGGTCCCTCCACACGGGGTCGAGGGGCTTCTGGGAGAAAGTGGCCTCTGGTTGGAACCCTGGAGGCCATGTAGGGCGCGAGCCCAGCGAGCTCGGTCCTCCTGGCAGCTCACCTCGGTTGGTGACAAGAAAGATGACGTACTCATCGAAGGCCTCAGGGCGTGTCAAGGCCATCTCAGCACAGATCTCCTTCACCACGTCCAGGGCCACCTGCGGGCGGGGAGAGTGAGGCTGGGCCAGCCGCCGACCTCCGTCCTCCCAGCCGCCAGCAGACCGAGGGCAGAGCTCCCGGGCCCTGCACAGAGGCAGCCCTGGGCTCTGAGAACCGCCTCGCAGGCAGGGAGCACAGCTTCCGGTCTGAGAGGCCCCAGCTTGCCCCGTGTTCGCAGTGTGACCGGAGCTGGAGGCTCCACCTCCCCAGGCTCAGCCTGCTCTTCTGAGAAGTGTCCTGCCGTGTGGACTATGTGAGAGAGCCTGGGAGGGGCTCAGTACCCTTGGGGGCCACTCTGGAGACTGGGGTGTCCTTGCCCCCCCACCCCACCCCCCGGCGGCTGCCTGCTGGAAACATCCCCTCACTTACGGTGCACGTTTTGATTTTGAGATGGCGTTCAAGGCCTCCAGGGAGGAAAAAGAGTTGCCTCTTGGAACTGCGGCCCGCCTGGGACAAGGGAGGGTGAGGAGACAGGAAGGCTGGGTTGAGGGATCTGGGCCAGCCATCGTCCCCTGCCACGGGCGTCCCTGAGCCAAAGGTTCAGGCAGGCCCTGCAGGAGCACCTGTGCCGGGGACCTGAAGGCCTTCTGAGCACAGCAGGCCTCTCCCTCGCCCGGACCCCCACCCCCACGCTCACCAACAGGGCCCGGAGCTCCATGCTGCTGGGCAGCTCCAGACGGCCGCCGAAGCGCAGGGTTTTCTGCAGGTTCTGCTCACAGGCCTTGGCGATTCCTACAAAGACAGAGCCAAGGCCTTGCCCAGGTCGGCAGTCAGGCTCCTCTGGCCGCCGGCTGCCAGCCCACGGGTTCTCTGCACAGCCAGTGGGATGAGCTTTTACTCCAATTTGCTGGCTGAGGAAATAGCCCAGAGGGGCAGTGATCTGCCCAAGGTCAAAGGCTGGAGTGCTAGGGCCGTGCTCAGACCCACAGCCCACAGGCTCAGGCCTTCTGTTAGGTCCACAGTCCCCGGGGCTACCCTAGGAGCCCTGGAAACAGCTGTCACCTTGAGCTGCTGATGGGGGGCTTATCCCTAAGAGGCTGTGACTATGGGGGTGCAGCTGTGGGTCCCCCACGGACCGCCTCCCCCCCGGAGTCCCGGCAGGAGACCCCGTGGCCTGCCTCTGCGTGTCTGACTAGGCAGTGCCGCACCTGCTGGGCAGGGAAGCCGGGAGCCACTCTGAGCCCCCCCGGAGCTGGCCTCTCCGCCTCTGACCTGGGAGTGTGAGCTACTCAAAGCAGAGGAGGACTCGGAGGCAGAGGGAGGTCCCCCATCTCTCTCACCGCTGCTGTGGTGACTGCAGGGGCCTTGGCTCTTTCTTAGGGGGACCAGGGAGTTGCTATGGAAACAAGGCTGAGGTTGAGGAGTGGCCCCTTTCCTCCACACTCCAAGGGGGGAAAGGCTGAGCCCCTGCCCCCAGCTTTGGGCCCACGCCGGCCTGGACCCGCCAAGACCCTGTTGATTGCCAAAGGCCCAAGGGGCAGAGCCTCCCCCGCAGCCCAGGCCTGGCCCCCCTCCTCTTCCCCATGCCACTCTGCCCACCTCCAGGCCTTGGCTCCTGCCACTCAGCGCACGAGAAAGCCTACCCAGAGCAACACTCCTCTGGGAAGCCATTCATCTCTCCTCTGACATGCCTGCCTCCCCACTGACCAGACAGCCCAGCGCACCAGCCCCTGCGGGGCCTCCACCACATCCGGGGAGTGAGGGGATCTGGGCGAACATGGCCCAGGCACTGTGAAGGGCCAGGCTCTCTGGATTTCCCCTCCTGCTGGCTGCCTGGCCGGTACCCACGCAGACAGGCCCTCGGCCCTGGCCCCCTTGCTGTGCCCCTCACCCTGGAAGGGCAGGCCTGGGCTCTGGCTCACGTCCTGGAGGAAGTGGACGAGGGGTGGCCGGAGGACCTCCGAGCAGCTGTGGTAGGCGGTCAGGATGTACAGCAGCCTCCAGCCCCGCTGGCAGCTGTCCCTGTGAGGACACACGCATAGGACCCCGTCACGTGGCCACGGCAGGACGGCCATGCCCGGAGTCTCGGGCAGCTCTGGTTCTGGGTGTTCTTCCTGCCTGGGGAGGGCAGGGTGGTGGCCCCAGCACCAGGCAAGAGGCAGGTTCTGCTTGGGGCCAGGGAGGGAGGCAAGGAAGGGCCCGAGGCCCCGACATGCACCAGGGAACACCTTCCCTGGGGAGACTCTCCCTGAGGGGGAGCCCGGGGGAGGGGGGC